ATGCATGAATGAGTCAAAGCAAGGCTTTGGGCATGTTTTTTATGAGAGTATAATATTATAACATGATATAAAACTCAAAAAAGTTGATTTTACTTGATATTTCCCCTTTAAAAACTTAAGAAAAAGACACTAGTAAGAGAAAATCTGAGCATTTATTCAAGTTCAGCATTTAGGTCCAAGTTTTAGATATTTGTGTTATTTGAGCGTTTTCTTTTAATTACACTTTTTCTTTTCTACTCTCCTACATCTAATTAGAAGTTTTTTATTGTTGGCCTTGGCTGCTCCATTCTGCAGAGGTTTCACAGCGACTGAACTCACACAAAAGATTTGTCAACTGTTTTAGACTGGATGACCTTTTAGACAYGAGCTGGGCTCAAACCTGCAACCTCAAGAGTTAGACTGAGGCAATCACCACTGAGCTACCAGATCTATATTATTATTAAACAACTTTGTTTGCCAGCTTCAATATAGATTACCTTTAATTAAAGTTCTGATTTCCTTGAAATTGAAGTTCTGTGGTGTTATCTGTAATAAATATCTTACCTGCAGTGGAAATGGCTCAGAGTTAGAAATCTCTCAGTGCACAGTTCCAGTTTGAAAGCGTGAGTCTTTGTTCACTCTCCAGGAGTGGAGTTCTCCTTGCTCCAGAACCTGACCGAGGCTCTTTCCGATGACGACGCCCACTACGTGATTCGACTCGCCAACAGTCTGTTCCTGCAGGAAGGCATCAGCTTCAACCCCGACTTCCTGCACCTGATGAAGAAGTACTTCCGAGCCGAGGTGGAGACAGTCGACTTCAGCGAATCGGCAGCAGTCGCCGAGCGCATCAACACCTGGGTGGAGAACCATACAGAGAGTGAGTCCGTGAAAGAAAGTAGATCCGATGGGTAATAAGGATGTATCTGTACAGAATGTCTTTATGGCTACATTCATTAAAAGAGAACGTTTGATCACATTTCTCCACAATGAGTTTTCTCTTGACCCAAACACGCTCTGTGCAGGTAAGATACGTGCACTGCTGTCCGCTGACGACTTCAACAGCGTGACCCGGCTGACCTTGGTGAACGCCGTCTATTTCCGAGGTTCCTGGAAGAACCAGTTCAGGCCGGAGAACACCCGAACGTTTTCCTTCAGCAGAGATGACGGCTCTGAAGTCCAGACCCTCATGATGTATCAGCAGGGGGACTTCTACTACGGTAAATGTGCCTCTGCTGCGTTGGACTAGTGGCTCTGGGTCTGCAGTTCTTGATTTTTGCCTGCAGCTCCTCGGGGCTGTTTGAAATGTTAATCTGGGATCTGAAATATTCATATGTGAAGTGTTATTCCCAGTTTGTACTTAGCGAGCTCCGCTTCCACGGTAAAATYCTCCTCACTTGTTGAAACCTCTGGTGTGGCTATTTGATGTGGGCCGTTAGGTCTTGTTGAGTTGTGAAATACTGTTTTGGTTCCATTTCTTTCTTTTTTTTAAATGTTCTCCAACAAAAACGAGGAGTATTTAAACATTTTATATGTTTTTTTTAATCTAGCACCACTCTGATTCATCTGCTCATGTTTCAACCATCATCTTTAGGGTTCTTCTGTCMATTTTGGTTATCAGACAAAACGCATAAATGCAAATATTTGAGCCTTTTTTTGTAGTTTATGCAGTTTTTGCAATATTCTGTTACTGCAATGATGATAAATTTGCAATATATTGTGCAGCCCCAATCATATCTAATCATTTCTTTTGCCAATGTTCAATAATCTGGGTAAAAGGGAAATTTATGAAATAWAATCCTGAAGAATATTTTAAAGCACTTTTCTGGGCAGTACCAACAACTWAAGATGATTTTGAGCAGAAAAACCTGAAGTTGTTGCTACTTTCCCTGCATGCAAGCGAAGCTATACTTTCAACACCAGCTGGGAAATCCCAATATCCTTATATGATTTGAGGCTTCTTCTCTCAAATTACATCAAGAAATCCTCATTAGATTATTCTAAAAATATGATTCAGACCAATTAACAAGACAAATCAAGCCATAAATCTGGAACCACTCAAAAACTCAGGATATGTATCAAAATGTGGCTTAAAAAACAGAAAAATGTGCCTAGCTTAAATAAAAAATGATTGCAGTTTCTACAACACCAAGTGTTTTTTTTCCTGCATTGCTACCAAAGGCTTGTGTATCTCAGTTATTTTAGCACCGTCTGTATGCAYGTGCTGAGAGTGCACACATGCGTACACCTGCATATTTACGCTCACACACTCAGGACAAAGGAGGGAGATGTGTGTAATCCAGGGGTAAACATAGCGTAATGCATGCTTGTCGGGATTTGTGTGTCTGAAAGCTGCAAAACAGGGACAGGTCCTCGGAGAGATGGCTGCATTTGAATTTTTCATTTTCCAGCGTTATTATGTTGTTTATTGTATATTCTTCACACTTCATGAGCAAAAGCTGCCTAGAGTCTTTTAATTCTCCCGTTAAAGCTGTCTCAAAGTGTAACTACATTTGTGCATAATATAATAAATAATGTTATGCAATGTAGCAGATGTCACTGTTAGATTATGACTCTGAGCTACATATCAAAGTTTAGCTCAGTTTTGGTAAAACTGACTGAGCTGTAGCCATTTTTGTGTCKGCTAATGTCATATAGCTGTGGTGGATGTCTTGAATCAGGGCAGCCCCAAGGGTTMATTTGATGTAGAATTAAAAGTATTACTAGAGTTTTATTAAATTGTATGTCATGAGGTATTTTGCTAACAGACAGACAAATAAAAAGGGCATAATTTTAACCAAAAAATTTGTATATTTGGTCCACATCTGATTTTATCTCAGTATCTGTGAAATGTAGCCATTTTTGTGTTTAAATTGATTTWACAAGCGAGCAGGAGGCCGGTTCCAGGCCAAGACTTGAATTTGAATAATTAAAGAGGCAGAATAGCTGGGTGTGACTTTAAATGGAGTGAATAGACACGACCGGGGGTCCTAAAGAGGTGAAATAAAGGGTGTGAGAGCGTTTCACTTCTGTACCATTGTTCTTCTGTGGCTTCAAACAGGCGAGTTCAGCGATGGCTCGCAGGAGGCCGGMGGTGTGTACCAGGTCTTAGAGATGCCCTACGAGGGCGAGGACACGTCCATGATGATAGTGCTGCCTCGGCAGGAAGTTCCTCTGGCTTCTCTGGAGCCCATCATCAAAGCACCACTGCTGGAGGAGTGGGCCAACAACGTTAAACGGCAAAAGGTGGAGGTATACCTACCCAGGTAAAAATCAAGGACACCTGCAGAAGCTGATAATCCTGATTTTCAGGAMAAACATATACAGCAGACAATACAATATATAGATTATGGTGATGTCATAAGCCAAAGAAACAGCATATATAGGTGACTTTGTTTACACTGGATAGTGTTAGCTTCCTATTTCATGTCCTGTTCCTGAGTTGGATGTAGAAAACATTCAGCTGTGAGAATGATCATTATCAGCTAATAAACCCAGATTTTTCTCACTTGTTTTACTGTACAATGCCGACAACACTCTCCATGTGTTTCAGCRTGTTAGCCATCATTGCTCAAATTAGCTCTGGCCGTTTAGGGCAGTGGGGTCCATCTGATTGTCAAATATAAATGGGTCGCCCTGTTTGTGTAGTTTACCAGATGTACGCACTGRTCCTGAGATGATGAGAAGCTTTCCAGGTGTGACGCAATCCTGGGTGGATGATCTACTTTGTCGCTGGCCTCCATAAAGAATGTTAGAGATCTGTGTTCATATGTTTCTTTTATCCAGTGGTGGGCAGCGCTAATCCAAAAATTAGCTCCGCAATTTCTAAAGCGCTTATGAAAATATTTAGGTCTGCAACTGTAAAAGTGCTTACGTMATAGAAAAACTACCGGAAGCTAATTTTAAAGTGCAAGTTTAATTTGACACTTACTAGCTGRCAACAATTCATGTACAATATATGCACAAMACTGCCAACTAGCAGTGTATGAACTCTTTTACRCCGATTGCTGGGGATGTGATTTACTTAAACAGACCTTTAGCTCCTGGTGTAAAAATTGAAAAGTTGCTGAGGATTGCTAGTTCGGCTGCTTCTTTGTGTTTTTCTTTTGTTTGTTGTAGATTTTTCGTTAAAGAAGAATCAATAAAGTCATTTTAAAACTGTTTATTGGAAAACTGAAGCGATGCATTCTGGGTACATGGCGGATTTGATTTATGATGGGAAACGAAAGCAYGGAGAACAGGAAACTATCTTCCCTTCAAAATAAGAGCTTGGATTTTAAAGTTTTCCATGTAGYTGCTCCAGTTGACCACTAGATGTCTGTCTTCATCAGCATAACATCTTTAAATCATTTCTGCGTCTCTAACCCCGTTGCTTTGACCAGTTACATTAAGTATTGAGCTCCAGTGTTTAAACTTTATTTTTTTTAAAAGGAGCTCCGATTGTAAAGTAAAATAAATCAATACATCCAAATTTTTAGTATGGATTACAAACGTTAACTGTTTTTGCTATTGCCTTCCTGCTACGTAAGCAGACACAAAGCATTGTGGGAAATCAGAACCTTGACCCAAAGCAACAGTCAGCAAGGATGTATACCTTYTCAATAASTGTGTTTATCTGTGAGAGGTGCTGTTGGAYAGATCACGTGTTGTGATTCATTGACAWCCATACCTTCCGCTGTTCAAGATAATGATGRCTGGTAGATAATTAGTTATTAGCGRTACTACATTTTAATTTTAGAAAGTGCAAATCCGCTTATGAATTATAAAAATTAGTAAGACCGCTAAAGAGCAAACGAAATGTTTAGGTCCGCAATTAGCGGATTTGCGCTTTAGCGGGCTGGTGCCCACCACTGCTTTTATCCTACTGGAATAAGCTGCAAAACCTATCTTTAAATGAAAACTTATCTAAACTATAGAATCAGACACTGTCCTGCTTCCATACAATGCCCCTCATTAAACCCTAAAATATTATAAAGCTGCRCTTTTACACACAGGTTCTGCTTTACAAAATCATCAGTTTGTAACAAGCWTGAAACTCTTCAAGGTCTAATAAATGTCATTCAGTCAGACATTTTAATTCTTTAGATAATGGCTCCCTARATGGATCTTAAGCGGTTTAAATGTGGCTTTTAATTTGTTATTCCTTCTGCTGATCATCAGGATTATAATCCCCATCTTGAATCCCTGAAACCTCTAACAGAGATTATTGTTCAGGTTCAAGGTGGAGCAGAGGATCGATCTGAGGAGCACGCTGCAGGACCTGGGAATACAGAAAATATTCACCAACGATGCTGATCTCTCTGCCATGACAGGTGAAGCGCAGCGGAACGCGCACACACACACACACACACACACACACACACACACACACACACACACACACACACACACATCTGTTTCTATAACAAACACAGACACTGATACGAACAGAAGAGTAAATAAGATCCTCTAAAGCTTCAGTATAACATCTAATTCTTGTGTTGGTAGCATGAAAAAAAAAAAGGCTTTTTGTTGTTTCTAAGGTAACTGGTGGTGAGTGGGCAGGTCGGTGCTGTCACATTAGCAATCAAAAATAGACCCCCACTGAGAAGTCTATATATACTGGGAAGTACTGTATAGACTAAAATACATACATCACATCAAAATCAGARCAAAGTAGGAGGCAATGTTTAATCCAAGATGTTGTTAAACCAATGACATAAATAAAATGATGCTTTTAGTCACTTTAGATTTAGCAGAAATGATTAATTGTTATTAATAAAGGTGGGATGACAGGACTTTGTTAAGCCCAGTGTGCACCTGCTTCAACACCTCCAGCTTCAAATGATGAAGCTGGCTGATAAAAAGCGGGTGATTCACCTGACATGCTTTCAGTYACCGGGGAAATAATTGTGCAGGATCCTGCGTTTGAGCCGACGTCGTGTCATAAGAGAGCGTTGCTTGATGCGATCGGCCTCTCGCTGTTGGTTTGACTAATGAGCGCTCACGACACGGCGTCTTCTCCTGGATGTACATACAAATTAGAGTCAGTATTGTGCCGTCATTCTTGTGCCTGATGTAAATTATGATGACAGGTTGATTAGGAATGCACGTCTGTGTGTGTGTGTGTGTGTGTGTGTGTGTTGTCTAGATGATAAGGATCTGTACATTGGAAAGGCGGTGCAGAAGGCCTACCTGGAGGTGACAGAAGAGGGTGCAGAGGGAGCTGTTGGATCTGGTACTTGTTTGTTTTTGGGKTTTTTTCCTAAATGCATTTCTTTGTTTTGTTTTTGTGGTTCTCAGACAACAAAGTCAAAGGTTCCCAAATGAAGGTCTGCTGCTAACACATATTATTCAACTCTGTTCCAGGAATGATTGCCCTGACCAGGACTCTGGTGCTGTACCCACAGGTCATGGCCGATCACCCCTTCTTCTTTGTCATCAGAAACAGAAGAACAGGTGAGTTTATAAGTTAAAAAAAAAAACATTTCGACAGAGATATATAAAAACAAAGTATGTTTACTTTATTACAGTGTTTTAAGAAATTTTTTTGTGAAAAGCTGTAATTTCACCAAATATTTTTTTTAAATTTGTAACATTTAATTTTATTTCATTACTTTCAAAATATAAAATTTAAATATGACCTGAGCTCATCATGAAATGAGTTGTTTATACACTTTAAAAATGAAGTGTTAAATTTGCTTTACCAATTTAGGTCATCTGGTTCCCCTGAACTGAGTTGAGTAAATGTAAAGCACTTTACTCAACTTGGTTTAGTAAATTCAACACTTCATTTCTAATGAAGTGTAAAATTACTTTTATATTCCTGATTACTGTAGCAGTTTTAGGACTTTTACTTAAAGAATTTTCTTATCAATAAACACATATACAATAGGTTGCCTTCAGGCCCAGGCTTCCTTTGAAAAAGAGATCTGAGAGCTCAACAGGACTTGCCTGGTTAAATAATGGCAAATAAATAATCAGTGAATTTCATTTTTACCAAAGTCATTTTCTCCTAAAGTGTTTTTACTTTTACTTTATTGTTTTAAGTACTTTATACACCTTTGCGTTTTGAGGTATATTGGTGTACATCTAGAACATCCAATAGTACACTATTTAAATTTAACCTCTAGTGTACAAAAACACAGCAGAGTTCATCAAAGAGTTTTAGCAATTTGCTAAATGCAAATAAGTAAGTAAAGTTTATTTATATAGCACCCTTCATAGATATAAAATCACAAAGTGCTTCACAATAAAACCAAGAAAAAAATAAAATAAATTTAAAAGCATAACATTCATACAAAGTACAAGTAAAAAAATAGGTAAAGAGAAAAAAACTGAGCTGAGAGCCTTTTTGTAAGAGCGTCACTAGAATCAAGGCTGTGTATAGATCGGGGCAGTGCATTCCAGAGCCGGGGTGCAGCTGCTTGGAAAGACCGATCCCCTCGGGATTTAAAGTGGGTGCGGAGTACCACCAACAACCTCTGACCTGATGACCTCAAACTGCGAGATGGTGTGTGAAGCTGGATCAAATCCAAAAACATATGAGGGAGCTTGTTCATGTAGGGCTCTGAAAGTTAAAACCAGAATTTTAAAATCAATTCTAAAATGAACTGGGAGCCAGAGCAGAGAAGCTGAAACAGGTGTGATGGGAGCTCTAAATGGTGCTTGTTATAATTCCAACAGCAGTGACTCTAGAGAAGCAACTTTTGCTGCCTCTCAATCTTATAGAAGGGTTACAAGTTGTTTCCAAACAACTTGGAATTCATCCTTCTACAGCGAGTAAGATTATTAAGACGCCTGCCAAATAAGTTGACATCCCAGCAAATTCACCCTAAGATCAGACCATGCAATGCTCGTAGAATTTACAAAAAAAAAAAAGCGGGCTCCATCTCAGACTCTGCAGGCTTCAATTAGCATGATAAATTTGAGAATAGAGTGTAGTTACTAGAAACGGACTGAACAACTGTGGCTTGTAAGAAAAAAAGAAAAAAATTGTATAGGTCCTCTGGACGGGTTCTTCTCTAATGAAATGTTTCGTCTCTCCTCCAAGAGACTTCTTCAGTCTGAGAGTTTCAGGCAAAATTCAGGCTTTTAAGCACTGCCTCCATGTGACTGATACTCACATCACATGGCTATCGTTGACACCTAATTAACACCTATTGTTAACAGGGGGTGGAGTGATACTGGCAATAGCCACGCTGTATGAGGGGGACAACTGAAAACGGAGGCCTCCACCTCTGTTTAATGATGGATGGTCTTTCTTCACAAAAATGGCTTCTTTTACTCCTCTCTCAAACCAACGTTCCTCTCTATCAAGAATGAGAACATCCTCATCTCTGAAAGAGTGACCGCTGGCCTGTAAATGAGTGAAAACTGCAGAGTTCTGGCCATTAGATGTAGCTCGTCTGTGTTGGGACATTCTTTTGAACGTTGGTTTGAGAGAGGAGTAAAAGAAGCCATTTTTGTGAAGAAAGACAGTCCATCATTAAACAGAGGTGGAGGCCTCCGGTTTCAGTTGTCCCCCTCCTACAGCGCAGCTATTGCCAGTATCACTCCACTCCCTGTTAACAATAAGTGTTAATTAGGTGTCAACGATAGCCATGTGATGTGAGTATCAGTCACATGGAGGCAGGGCTTAAAAGCCTGAATTTTGCCTGAAACTCTCAGAMTGAAGAAGTCTCTTGGAAGAGAGACGAAACGTTTCATTAGAGAAGAACCCRYCCAGAAGACCTATACAATTTTTTTTCTTTTTGATTTTTTACCTGGATTACTGAGATGCATCAGGACATGGCTTGTAAGAGTTTTAATCTCAGTCTGATTCAAATTCTGTGGTCGAGCCAAATTAAGAGTAGTGCAGAAACAAATGTCAAGTCATACAGAAAACGCCTTCTGACAGTWATTGCTGCTAGAGGTGAAAAATTTGTGTTTCATGCACAACTTTTCCATTTTGGATTTATTTTGTTTACTAAATAATGACAAATTAATGGAATTCGTTGTCTGTTTTTGTACAACTGAAGTGAAAGAACTTGCATACAAGCTTTCTTTATCATATACTGTAACTGTATAACCCCTTATTAATTTGCAGCTGCTTACATTAGTAATACACAATATGCRTGTTTGTTTATTGTTCTTCTCATCTCAGGGTCCATCCTCTTCATGGGCCGAGTCATGACCCCCGAAGTCCTCGAGCCCAACGACCATGACTTCGACTCCATGTGAACTCGACTCGGTCTCTGTGGAATCAGCTCCTGACTTCATTAAAAACTACCTATTCTCTATCACCATCTTCAGCTGTTTTATACTCTGTACGAAGAATATATATTAGCCGAATATTTAAAAAGATATATATTTAGGCACGGCATACGACACGTGATGTGACAGTGTTTTTTTATACTGGAAGCTTTAAATTATCGAACACAGACATGCAGACAGAAGTTGTAAATATATTCACTATAAAAGTTTTATTTGTATGAGTAAAAATGAACACATGCAGTATATAAAAAAAGAAAAAATAATCCACGCGTAACCCCTTTAAGTTTAGCCTAGCAGCTTCTTACACAAAATCTATTTTATTCCTTTTTAAGAGTGTTTTTTTTTTCTCCACACTTTATTTACACGGCTGACCGGCATTGTGTTTTATATCTATGCTCAGTATTTATTGCAGAATGAACACGTGCAAACACGAGTAAATCTTAGTAATATATTTGTTCTGAACAGTATTGAGACATTTCCACTTTTTTGTCACATGGCTTTACTGCTGATGAATTATTATGCCTTATCGTACCTGATTAATGAGGCTCCCAGCTAAGCGTCTTTATGGGGGAGCTGGGAGGAACTGGGGCAGGACCGGAGGATGCAGGGTGTCCATGTGGTGGGAAACAGGAACACCAGCTGTAAGGATTCTTGGATAAAATATGAATGTGTTGCCATTAAAAATGTATATCAATATATGTTTGAAGAGTGTATTTTTTACATTTAAAAGACAATGCATCTTACTTTGGCTTTAAATAATAAAGTTTCACTATTAACTTCACATTTTTTGCAAGGTCTGAACTGAGTATTTTGATGTGAGGATCGATACTAAACTATCTATACCACTGATACCACAACAATATGCTCCAAAATTTATTCTTAAATCAAAATATCCGATATACTTCAATCTTTTCAGGTAATGTGTATCATTAACAKGAACACAGTGGAAAGAAACTAAACTATCTTTGTGGAAATCATWCTTGTTTGGTGGGAACTACTTTTTCTTCCGCCTGGGTAATCATAAKCGAAGTTGCACATGCTCAGTCTGCTGCTCAGTGTGTTGAYRTTACATGTTCAGTATTATGTTACCGCGTTCATGTTAACGTAAATTAAGATGCAGGTTTTCATTTTTATAGTAGTTCTTGATAATTCATCCACCTGTTACCTTCTGCTTCTTCTGAGTCAGGTAATGGGGCAGCAGCTTGAGCAGGGAGTAGTTCTTGATAGTTAAACAAAAAATATTATTTTTTTTATTATTTCACTTCATTTTTTAATTGTTTAAACAATATTTTCAGATATTTAGCATGATTGTGTCCTCTTTTTATGCATTAGCTCATCTATACCGTAGCCTAAATGAGGGTGCTATATTCTGAGTTTAAAATAAATTAATTACTCTGTCTTGTATTCTTTATGAAGTGGTGATTTGAAATACACTACTTTGTTTTATTTACCAGACACTTTAGGTGTATCTGCACAAAGTATCAGTATTGACTCAGTATCACTCAGTATCACCAAATACCAGTCTGAGTTTTACTCTGTATCAGAATCGGACCGGAAATCAGTGGGTTCAAACATCCCTCCTGAGGATACGAGTATAAGATTTAGTTTAAATGTTCAAGAGGTTTATTCATGTTTTAAAAACCAAAAGTTGTTTTTTTTATCAGCCTTAAATTATTCCAGCAGGCAGAGTGTGATAAATATTGTGGAGGAATCACAGCTCATGGGTGTAGGAGGTTATTTATAATCTAAATTACTTCCACCAGCTGGGGTGATAACTGTGCCTTATGTGTTCATTTTGTTCACAACCATCGTCTCTCCTCCTACACAATAAACTGTACAGAGGCTACATATGGAGAACTTTTGATTTAAAAAAATACTCTCATCAAATGACTGGTTGAGCRTTACGTCTTCTAGAAGTGAGAGGCAGTTAATGTTCAGTCAAAATCTGCTTTAAGACACTTCAGTTATACAGAAATTATTTTTTTTCTTTTGTTATATTCTGTTTTATCTTTTCGTCCTCTTGCTTTCATTTTCTTACATTTTCCTAAATTGTTGCACCTTTTCATTCACATCTCCCCGTTTTCACTCTTCTTTTTGTTTTACTTTGAAGAATTCATTGCCATTTGGATTACTTCATTAGTTTTAACCAATTTGCCATCTTTGATTGTTTCCCTGATGACCTGTACTGAAATTTATCATTTTCATTTACACTGAACAACATAATATTAATTAGACAGTCTGGTTTGAAATGGCTCCAGTCATTACAGCCACAGCTGCAGTCATTAGCTCCTGAATCAAGCATTCAGGTTCACAGCGCATTATTTAAACACGCCCTGGTAAATAATTGATTTTTATTTTAGAGCAGCTCAGAAACAAAATGGATGGTGTAACTTGTTCATAAAATAAACTTCGRCYCTGAAAGAGGTGGGACATWGTGTAAAATGTAAATATTATCTGAATGCAAGGATTTGCAAACCTTAAAAAAAATGAATAATTGTGAAATATTATTCCAAAAATGTCAAACAAATGTTAAACATTTGTTTCAGACTGATTGAGGGATTCAGTCTCTAWAATGTTTTTTTAATATCCAGTGCTCTTTGAACTCGCCTTTTGTTGCCTCTGTTCTAAGTTTTTTGAGAAGTGTTGATGGCAAAATAGTAATTACCCTTTTTTCACAAAAATGTACAGTTTCATAGTTTAAACATTCAGTGTGTTTACAATGTTCTATTGTGAATAAAATTTGGATTTATGCTTATATTCAGAATCAGGGTTGTATTTAGTTCACTTTTGACTTATGTGGTGTATTTTAAATGTGACCCTGAGGTCATGAACCAGGCCCAACTCAGGTGTCATGATGTGGCCTGATACACTGGCTGGCCTCGACTCAAACGTAAAGGAGCAGATTTTACATCAATAAGGACGAGGTTGTGCAGGATGTGTATCAGCCACAATAACTCAAAGTAGTATATTCGGTAAACCTTTCTTTTACAGTCCCCTAATTACCAYGCAATTTCCTAGTATTTACGTGCTAAGTAATTACATTTTACTATGCATTTACTTGGTAATTACAATACTTTACCGTGTCCTGATGCATCTCAGTAATCCAGGTAGAAAAATCAAAAAGAAAAATAAGTAAGTCCTCTGGACGGGTTCTTCTTTAATACTTTACCATGTAATTACTTGGTAAGAACATATGTTTCTATGTGTTTGTAWTCTTTTGGTTAATAATATAGAATGGAGGTACTACTGAACAGTAATTTGAGTTACCCAATAAAGGTAGTTTTACTATGGCATGGTGATTAGGGACTATATATATACATTATGTGGAAATTTAGTTGGTAGTTTATTTGTAAACACTGGGCAGTTGATGTACTATTAAGATCACTAAATTAGTTTATATACATAGTAATTTTCTAAGTATATACTTAAAACGACATTGTAATTAGTAGGGGTGCAACGAAACAGAAAATTCACGATTCGGTTCGATACTTTAGCCTCACGGTTCGATATTTTTTCAAAACAAAACAGAAAAATGACCATGCCCTTTTTAACTTGTAATTTATTTAAATTAAGTACAAACATTTATTTAACCTCAAAAATACAGTTTTTTAATTAAATGTTGCTGAAACAGCAAATTTCTCAGGGGATCTGCGCTCAAAAATGCAGCCTAGGTGGAGTAGTCGAACACAGATCCACTGATCCTTCAACACAGAGCATCTTCAGAAGACAAGTTGATAAAATAAATTCAAAAAATCTGTATTGTTCGATACAAGTGTGTGTTGAACCTAAAACACTGTATTTAATGGTTCGATATGGGTAAATGTATTGTTGCACCCCTAGTAATTACGGTAGGTGACTGTAAAAAAAAAGTTGGCAATTTTTTGGCAAATAGTGGATAATTGAGATATTATTGAACTGTAATTGTAATCGAATTACCCACTACAATTAGTTTAACTACACARTATTTTTAATATGTTCTTACCAAGTAATTACATGGTAAATTATTGTAATTACCAAGTAATTGTGTRGTAAAATGCTACCAWATAAGTGCTAGGTAATTGCATGGTAATTTGGGGACTGTAAAAGAAAGGKTTACTGTGTATTCTTTATTAAGGAGTCATAATACTAAGTGTGGTGTGAGCTTTTATGTTATGAAATAGGCCTACCCCTCCTCCCAGACAGGGGCGGAGCCAGGAGGTGGCCAACGGGTGACTAAGCCCACCGTGGAAAAATCTTTGACCACCCTATAACCACTGCTTTGCCAGCACAGTTTTGCATATATAGCTTCACCAAATGTACAATGCTCACTGTCACTGCTAGTCACTGCCTAAGTWAATGAGAGAATCACCAAGAAACACAATTAGATCATCTGCAAATTGCCGTGTAGGACAAAATAAAAGTTTCAATTTCTGATCCAACCCTGAGTGACCAGTGTGGCTCTGCCTCTGCTTCCAGGAGCTGTTTTTGGTGCTAGCTGCTTCCAAAACCCCCACCCTCTCTGCGTAAAAGTAACCAAAATGTCAGAGTTCCTTTGAAAGCCAAAAATGAATTGCGAGGCCGGCTCGTGCAGCGGTGACCCGCAGCAGCGTTTCAGAAGCGTGTCGCCTGGCAACCAGCAGCTTGGCGGTCAGCCGGCGTCACGCGCAGCCCCAGCAGCATCTCACTCACACACACACAAAGACACACACACACAGACACACACAGCGGCGGCCCAGACAGCCACCAGGACGGCTAAACTTTCTTCCGGAGAACTCTAGCAAAGGCAACGGGCTCCAATGGGTAACAGCTGCAGGGCTGCAGCACCAAACCGATCTGTGCGCCATGTGCTAACGGAGGTCAGGAGGGTTCACCACAACGACAAGGAGATTGGGACATGTCAGAAAGGTGAGCTGTTTCTTTTATGATGCTCGCTTGTTTAACAGACTTCAACCTCTTWGTCATTTTTACTTCATTTCTCCATTAGTTTCTGTTTAACAGACCAGAAAATAATAATAAAAAAACAGCCAGTATAAATAATACAGGCACCAGTGTCCACCCATCACCTGCATACAGAGACTATTATAAGCTAATAGCACCTGCTCAGGTGTCCACTGGTGCCATGGCAACGGGTCCTAATCTGCATTGTCAGGCCCAGTTCAGTGTAACTCAAACCACTCGGCCGGTGGTCAGGGTTTCAACGCATGCACACACACACACACACACACACACACACACACACACACACACACACAC